GAGAGAATTCCAAGAGGAATAAGACATTTTTTGGGGCCTTGGCAACATAACTCTGTGGACATGGGAGAAGGATTCCCATATACCACAAAGAAATTGGAAAAAGAAAGCTAATGTTTACAAAGTTTTACTTCAGTTGACCTCATTGCCCAAACTATATTTTATTAGCATTATTCAAACCTAATTTTATAATATTATGTTCTATCTATCACTCATAATTGCTTTTTTTCTAACATAGCTATTATTTTAATCCTAAATTGACTGAAATTTTAGATTTTCTATTATCAAAACAAAAATAAAAAATATTGATATAAGGCTATGTTATTCCATAAAAATTTAGCTCTAAACTTTTATCCATATCTAACAGCTTAAATTATTTCATTTTTTATTTATATGTTAGCATAAATCTGTAGGCTTTATAAAGGGATGGGTCCATAAATATGGATGCCTACCCCCAAATTAGCAAAATAATGTGAAATCTCAGTATATCTCACTTTCTTTTGGATTGAATATCCACAATGGTTAAACAGGTATTCAAGATTTGTAAGTTCTCCATATTTCAGATGAGAAATTAGACATGTATGAAAACAGCTACTTCTCAGGAATTCCATAACTCACCAGTGACTTTCAAGATCAAAATAATATGCCTTGAACAAAAGATCAAAACACAAAATAAAGAAGAGCTGAAATTGTAGGAAGAATCTAGAGAACCAAATAGCCACTTCTATTTGTTTATGGTAGAGTTATGTCTTGTTTACTTTTTATCAAGCTAAATTTTCTAATAGCAATTCTCTCAAACATTCTGCAAGTGGAATTAAAAACAATAAAGGAAATGTTTGGCATAATGACAATTCTTGGGCGATCTCAATAATATCTTATTGTTTTACCTGTCACTTCTATACCTGCTCATCAAATTAGCCCCATGAACTATCATTTGTACCATTCCTCTAAACCAAACAGAAACGGGAAAATGCAAACAGGACTCCAGCACACACAGGGTCAGGGGTACACTGCACAGTTAACCGAGGGGGGCGGGGATGTGCTCATTCAGCAAATATGCTGTGGTATCTACTGTGTGCCAGGCTCTAAGACACAGAGGTGCTCTCTACCAGTTCAGAGCTTGTGTGCACAAGGTGATGGGACAGTGGTGTACACAAAGCGCCGCTATGATGGGGAGAGAGGAGTCAGCCTGAGGGAGTCAGGAGGCTTCACAGAGAAGGTGACATAAGAGCTGAGCCTTGGAGGATAAAGGAGAACTTCTCTGCACATGGTGACGGGACAGTGGTGTACTCAAAGCGCCGCTATGATGGGGAGGGAAGAGGAGTCAGCATGAGGGAGTCAGGAGGCTTCACAGAGAAGGTGACATAAGAGCTGAGCCTTGGAGGATAAAGGAGAACTTCTCGGGAAATAGAAAATGGGTAGAAGCGCCTTTCAGACAGATGGAAAGTATGAGCAAAGCCTATGAACAGTAGTGATGATCGGTGTTGGGAAGATCTCATGTGATTGATAGCCAATGCTTAGACGATGAGAACGGGGAAGATCAGTGGTGGAGCCAAAGAAGTCCGGGGTCCACTAGAAAACAAGAGACTGGCGTTCTAACCTGAATTCTAAATAATGGCTCCCAGGGTGACCTTAATTCTGTCCCTGTTGTGCTGAAACTATAAACCAAAGAGAAAAAATAGAAATGGGTAAGG